TCCACAAAGCTGTCAGCCTCAGGTTGCTGGAGTTCGAACCTCACACCTCTCCCGCTGGCCAAAAGTGCCCTGAAGGCACTCGAGCAACAAAAAAAGTATATAATCTTCAGGGGCTGGGGAGATAGCTCAGTAGAATAAATGCTTGCCTGGCAAGCACAAGATTCTGAGTTCAATCCCCAGTACTGAAAAAATGTACATATGCAGAAGGAAGAAGTTCAGAGCCAAATGTAGCATATGCCATAATCCTAACACCAAGGGAGGCTGAGACAAGATTGTAAATTCAAGCCCCACCTGTACAATTTAGTGATACCCTGTCTCAAAAAAAAAAAAAAGCCCCTTACTTTACAGCATAAATTTAATGTAAACATAAAAGCTATCATAACACTTTTAGAAGAAAGCGTGGGGGCAGGGGAGATGACTCAGTAGAATAAGTGCTTCCCTGGCAAGCACAAGGGTCTAAGTTCAATCCCCGGTTCTGCCAAAAAGAAAAAGCATGGACATAAATTTAATGACCTTAGGAGAGGCATTAATACTTTCTGGATTATGATAACACAAGTACAAACAACAAAAAACTAGATAAACTACCTCATCAAAATTAAAAACACCATCAATAAAGTGAAAAGCTACCTGTTTAATGAGAAAAGGCTTGTGCATCATACATCTGATAAGAGGCTTGAACCTAGAATATAGAAAGAACTACAACTTGAGAATAAAGACAACTCAGTATGGTCCTGAGTACACTGCTGGTGAGAATAGTAAGCTGGTGCTGTGGAAAACACTTTTATAGTTCCCCAAAAAGTTTTTAAAAAATTTTTCCAGACACAGTGGCACAGTATGGATTCCCAGTACAGGAGGTGGAGGCAGTTGGATTACCATGAGTTTGAGGCCAGCCTGGGCTACATAGTGAGACACTATCCCAAATAACAAAAGAAAAAGTTAAAAAATTATTTCCTAATACATAAATCTAAAGAAGATGACATGAAAGTGAAAGAGACATTGAAAAAGAAATAGTGTAGAAGGGGAAAGAACTGAAAAGATAATAAGGGTAGATAATGGGGTGGGAAGATAGCTCAGCAGTCTGAGCACCTGCCTGGCAAGTGCAAGGACCCTGGTGATGCACACCTGTAATCCCAGGGCTGGGGAGGCTGAGACTGGAAGATCATTATGAATCTGAACTACATAGCAAGATCCTGTATCAGAGAGAGAGAGAGAGAATTCAAAGGTATATATGACCACAACATTCATGCATGAAAACACATTGGAACACAATACTTTGTAAAATAGGCACTAATATACTTTAAGCCAGGCATGGTAGTACACTCCTGTAATCCCAGCACTCGGGAGGCTGAGGCAGGCAGATTACTGTGAGTTCAACCAGAACTGCATAACAAAATACTGTTTTTAAAAATTATATATATATATATATATATATATATATTTACATATA